GGCAAGCAGCGTTGGACTGCAAGCATGGAAGTATATTTGAGTATCGTTTTATACGCAGAGCATTGCGACAATCGGTATCAAATAGCCAAGACATCTCAACGCCTTGACCATGCGTGGTTGCTGAAGCGAATCATGTACGCACCGAATGAGAGCTGAATTACGAGCGCAAGCGTGGAACCATAGTAGCGTCAACCCGTCTTGGCCAAGAGAGCAATGCTTGTTATGCTCGAGCAAATGTCGAAAACTGGCTCGAGAGGTGTACTTGCTTCGGCTTCAATTTGCGGGCGGCAGGACGACCCGGGGGTTTGAATGTGCACAACGAATGTACAGCGCTTTGGAGTTAGCGAATGTGTTGCTCCGAATAGTTTACATGCGGTGGTCGTAGTACCCAATGCAGGTATTCGAGTCCAAACGACTACTCCAGTTGAATGCTGGCCGGAGTGCTTGTCTCAACGAATATCCGTACAGGCCGGCGATGAGCTATCTATAGTCTGTAGGGAGCCTTTTGCTTCATATAATGTTCGCAATGCTGATGCGACTTGTGCCTGACGGTGTCGGACTTGGGTTTGGCGCCATCTTTGGTGGTGGTGGTGCTTCCGGTGCCAACTGCACGCGCTTAACAGGATTATGGGGTGGAGGATAGTAGGCAGGCGATTGCGTGGATCGATGAAGGAGCTCATCCATCAGCTGCTTGACCATTTGCTCAACCTTGCTCCACTCATACGGTTCAGTTGTAGTGTTCATCGGTGAACCAGATGACGTGCGCAATGGTAGTGCGTCCCGCATCGGTTCATCGCCGCTCGGCGATCTTGTAGCGATGGGGGTCGGGTCTGGCTTCATGCTCGAAGAGATCAAATTATCACCCGCCCAAACCCAAGAATGCTCAAGGCTGCTTTGAGCGTCCGCACTGACGTACGCGATCATCTCCTCATCCTGCTCGAGCTGATGACTGCTTGCGCGCCCGGTACGCACTCTGTCGAACATCCTTTCGAGGAAGAATACCACATGCTTTCCGCACGCCGTGTTGACCTTCCGTCGATTGCCAATAGCCCTAGAGAGATGCAAGCAAACGAGTGCAGCCTTGTACTCGCCACGGAAGCATAGCACAAGTATACATCTCCACAAGTGCAAACATACGGCATTGCTCGCTATCGAAGCTACTAGCTCTTCCCATGTTTTTCCAGAATCCTGTTTGGGAGGATTGTGCAAGGCCCTTGACACATACGTTGCCGTGTCTTGAGAAACAGAAAAGCACCGCTTTAGAGCACTCACTCGCTCCGCAAGACCGGCTACTGGAGTCAGATTGCGCCGGTACACACTAAAGCGAGCGGACAACAAGCAAAAGATTGTAGGCAGCGCCGACATGTCGAACAGTGTATTGGAATCAGGCTGGTAGGCTTCAGGAAGGAGCAGCAACTTAAGTCGAAGCTCTTCATCAAAGCTTTGCAGGCTCTGTGGGAGAACTACGCTTGATTTGAGAATTTGCCGCAGTGGCGCATATAGGCGTGTGATGTGTATGTTCGCCATGAACCCAGTATAGTGAGTTGGCTTCGCTAACGAGCGGAAGGAACTGTTCGGTTGGATGTAGCGGTCGTCCACGGCGGATGGCAGAGATATTTCGCAGTCGATTTCGTTGATGATCATAGGCTTGCCTGTCTCAAGCGACATGATCCTATTTCAAAGTCAGCTGCAGTTGGCAAAAACAGGTGAGAAACAATTTCCATACCTATCGCGAACGTAGATGGACCACCAGAGCCTACGTCGGATCTCACCGTCGACAAGAGGCCAGACATCGACTTCAGGGCATATTTGCAATTCCTGAGCCATTCTCGCGGCAGAGGCGAGCCACATAGAGCCCGCAGGGCCCAAGTTGCACTCAGTAGCGTAGATGCTCAACAGAAGTGCTGCTTGGGCATATGTAACTGAGACATCATGCGGCCAGGACTGGAGAACAGCAGTCGCGGTCTCATACATTGCCTGGCCCTTTGACACTGAGGTAGGAGAGTTGGTGTGCCCCGGTTCAGCTTGCAAAGCGCCACAAGCCAATACCGCAAAGAATAATCCGACCCATTCACGAGAGCAACCCTCGAATGTTTTCGAAGTGTACACTTCGTCCACTTCTCGCTGAAAAGTGGGCCAGTGAACAGCAGGATACGACTCGTGTATTGTCTCCATGTATGAGCGAGCGAGGTACGCAAAGTCTGCGCGTATTGGTATCTCGGGTGACCGCCAATTTGCCAATCCAGCGCCCTTTGGATCGTGATGGGGTGTAGAAAATATGCCTTGGGCATGTGTTCGGATGTTGCTGCGGACCTGGTCGAAGTTGTTCAAGGCTGGCATTGTGATCGGACGTGGTCCCTGTATGGCGCCAATCTGAGCTTCAGAAAGCCTGCGCTTCGTGTCTGTCCGTTCGGGATCTAAAGGCTCACCATCGGAGACCTTGGTGCGCAGCTGAGAGTTGACATGAGTCAACTCGGCAATCTGACTCTGAAGATCCTGGACCTGTCTATGCAACGTAAGCAACTGTTCGTCCAAGTGGGCTAAGTCATAACACGTACTTGATGGATGACATTCGCCGGTTGGTCTCCTTGGTGAATTGACACCTGTGGTTGCGGCTCGAGCATTCCGAACAAGCCGATGTCTCGGTTGCATCGCACTGTACTAGTGATCAGTCACATCCTCACATGGTGTCCAGTTCAATGCCCTGACATTGCTCATGGGAGCATGTCAATCTCAGCAAAGCTCATGCGCAACTAGATACGCATGCGCTCGACGCGACTGAAAGGGAAGATGGTCGTCTAGGTGGCCAGTACCTGATCATCCATCCCCAATCTCGCCTGTCCGCCTCTGATGGCATTGCTGGAATGCCACCAAAACACTTGCTTTTCATGTACGTATGAACCCTCTATTTTCTTTACTCACCTTGACTTTGCGTTCTCGACAAGCATCGCACGAGGGATCCTTACGTCTCTGTCTGTATGCGCGTTTTTGCGCGTTCAAGTTCGCGGACGATATCTGAGTAGGGGATATCATCAGGCTGGTGCCATCGTGATTGTGGTCCGGCAGGCTTCCAGATACCGTACTTGGTGAAGTGGAATGGCTATAAGAGTTCGAAGAATACCCAGGTGAACGGGAGCCAAGCTGTGGGCCAGTAGGCGCCGCCAGAGTAGTCGTGCGAGCAACCGGATGCGACATCGTGAACGGACTTGGTGGTGGTATCATGGTCCGTGGCGACTGCCCACTGGAACCTGGCGGAGATTTGCGCATCGTGAGAGATAGCCCAAGCGCTCGAAGACAGGCCGGGTGTGGGTATCGAAATTCGCTTGGTAGGTAACAAGTTCTAGTCGAGATGATGTCGCTATGGAGAAAGAGTAAGTGGTCTCGGTAGAAGCCGAACACAGCGCTACTCAGAACGGGCCAACGATATTAGTAGCTTGTGGGACCAGGTAGACGTGTTGAACCAATGGAAGCCAGCCGTCAACACCTCATGCTGCCTTGGCGTGATGCAAGATGCGGAAGATGGAAACTTGTGGATGAACAAGATAAGTGACAGGTCTTCGCTCCAAGTGGAGAAACCGTGCAAGCGAGCGGTAGGTTGGGCAGATTGAGTGACTCGGGCATACAGAAGGCTGGAGCGCGATAGTCGGGTCTGTGTCGCCTGAGTAAGTGCTGTCAGCCAGCCGCTCGGCTGAGTGGCCGAGATGCCACAGCTTTAGGTTAGGGTCAGTGGCTAGACTGGTTAGGGTGAACTGCGAGATGGTGTGTGATGATTGAACTTTCACGGCCGTGAGGAGACAAGAAACGCTTCGGCAGACGGCAAGGTTCGTGGGAACGATGTTAAGTCTCGGCAAAGATCCGATGAAGGAAATACTGGGTATTTCGGGGCGTCGTATGGGGCTAGTATGCTAGTCAAAATGCTGCAATGATCAGCTCAATTCCCAGTTGCAGTGAAGTTCGTCTAGCAACCTTGTGGTAAGGCGGTAGAAGGACCCTGTCAGGTCGCCACCTTTCGATCTCGGATGGATGCTCTGAGCGACACAGGGGATTGGCGAAGGTGCTTCGTTTAAAGCACGTGTCGACTTGGCGACGCGCTGAAATGGAAAGGAGCTTCGGGGACCCTGTACAAAGCTCCGTATCCTGGGAAAGTAGGGGACTTTAGCAAGCCTTGTTCAACAACACCACGAAGCAGAGGCCTCCTGTGCATTCGACGTACCGGTATACGGGAGGAGCAAAGTTTATTGCGGGTTGATAGTACCACGAATGCCCAGATATGTGGTTTGGCTCCCGTCCACGAGTGGACCGATAGAAGTCGTCGTGCAAACCTATGTTTTTGTGTCTCGTGAGTACTGCCCAATGGCTCCGCACACGGCATACAGCTGGTGCTGCTTCGACTAGAATGAGACGAAGCGAGTGTTCTAGTTCAAATTCTACACGGGCTGGCAGCTCCGTTAGCAGGCTCGGACGTAGATCCGGATGGCTAGTCTTACCTGACAGCTTGTCCGGCTCTGATGAAGCCTCATGTTCCAGAAGATGATCGGTTCGTGCCTAAATGCCAGACGGTCCACATGGCTTCACCCAAAACGTCCAAGGCATACCTTTTCGGCGAGATTCATACAGGGGTGTACCTGCATGCGGCATTGAAGAAAGGCACTTCGCTAACGCCTGCAGCCATGGCAAAAGCACACGGGATTTCGAATCTGCAAGCACGAGGATTACTCGGATGAAGCGCTCTGGACTTTGAAAGACGATGGCGAAAAAGGCGCCGAAGGATCAGTTTTCGGTCCCCAAGAAGATAGGGAACACCGTCATGGTGGTTCACTAGCGACCTGTCCCGACATGCCCTAGTGGGATTCGCGGAGACTGTAGCCAGGCCTCCCCAGCCACAGCACGTTGAGCGGTGGAATCGCCGTGCAAGGTACGCCACAGCCACATCAATTGCCGTGTGGCTTCCGATTTGTTGGCAGACCTTGAAACTACGTAATGCTCACACTGATGTCACTATGAACAAGATTCTTCGTACATCTTCTTGGGTAAGTACACTAAGCGTTGAATTAACACTACCTCATTCAGGACAGTGTTCCGAGAATTGTTCTGCGCGCGTCGCCGGAGAACATCCCTGACCTTGCGGCGCCCGTCATCAGGCGTGGCACCGCTTGCAAAAACGTGGTTCCCCACGTTGCAGCGCGTGCCCGCGCCCGTCGCGGAAGCCCCACAGGCAAGGCCAATGTATCGCTAGTCTGTCCTTCTGTTGATTTCGAGCTTGGCGTCGACAGCGGCTCGGCCAGTCAGATGCAACGTGAAGAGCAATGCGAAGCCGAGGTGACCAGAAACCAGGTCAAGGCGGGTGGAAATTTACTGCCAACTGCCGAACCGCTCGTCTAGACCGCGCCGCGGCCCCTCGCCACCTGAAACTGACAGCTGCCGGATAGCAAGCCCGGATAGGTGCCTTACGAGGCTTTTGACGGGCGTCTCAAGAACGGTGCTATGTTTCTGATACACGGCAGGGTACATTGCGGTATCCGCAAGAGCGAGCACCAATCTCAATGGTCTGTAGCATCTGTTGAGCGTGTCGATCAGGACGTGCATACCAGAGGCCCGCAAAATGCTTCTACGGTACGATTTGTGTCTGCAAGTCGGAGTTTTGATCTTTTTATATCCTGTGCGCCGTTGCACATGTCGCGTGGAGCGGAAGGTATGGAATGTGACACCCGACGTCTGCTCAAGTATCGATTTGATGCCGTCCCCTCCGGCCGCATAGTTGTGTGTCGACGAGGCCCGTACGTACTCTGAGTAGTAAACAGAAGTGAAAAGATCTACAGTTGTGATCGCTCGTTGATCATCTATGATTGCGCGGCCCCCTGGCGGGTCGGTAGCTTCCGTCCAAGGAAGGCAGCCGATGGGGTTTCGAGAAAACAGACTGGGATGACAGGAAGAGTAGCGTGCTGTGAGCCGCTCATCTGCGAGAATGGACCGAATGTGTCTTGGCGGACCCGAAGTTGAGTTCTGCAACCCGAGTTTGACGTGCGATCGGCCCTCCGATAAGACGCCGTTGGAGGCAGGCTAAAATTTCGCCGGTGATCTTTCGCCTGGCGGTTTCCAACCGGGGCGATCAGCACATGTCAGTCCCGAATAGGAGGTCATGCAGAAAATCTCTTAGACGCTTGGAGAAAGGGAGAAGCTTGTCTCTGGCGGGCGGATGGAGATCTGCGAAATTCGGAGTCGTGTTGGGGTAGAGTGGCGACGTGATAACGCGTCGTCCTGTTCGCGGCAGTTTCTCCAGGTCGGCGAGGAGAGCGAGAACAGTATGTATCGACAGCAAAACCGTTGAAGGATGCACGTTGATGCTCCTGCAATATCCGCTACGCTCTTCATGGTGGGTGCGCGTGGTGTCGTCGGAATGCGCCAAGTTCTTCGCGCCTTCCATGCCTCCCGCCGACTAGGAAGCCGGTGTTTACTTCCGATACTCGAGGCGGGCGCACTGGAGCGCGCACACTACCTGGGCATTGGACCTTCGCTCGCGTGCCGTAGCCATCGTCGACATCTCACTTGAGCAATGCGATTCACGTTGAGTCTCGACGTTGTGGCCCTCGAGTCCAGCCATGTCTCACACCAGCGTCCCCATTATGTCCTTGTACGATGCTCCGAGATTGCCGCACACCTAGATCCGACAACCTTAACTGCACCTCTAGCCAACACTCGAGATGATGCTTTTTCTTGTAGCGCAGCGCGCGGCGCAGATAAAAGCACCCTGGTATTCTCCGGAACTATGCGTGGAGGAGATGGGCAAGCTTTAGAGCGAATTATTCTCCGACTCGATGTCACGCATCCGCCTGGTCGCAATGTATCGTGTATATTCCCACCTCGACTTATGAACAACGAATCAACGACTCCCTCATTGAAAGTCCTCGTCACAACCTGAGAAAGAGCATGTGCACTGGATAACACGCTACCCCACGCAGTAGACTAGCGCGACTTACAGCCTCGGTACATCACGTATGCATTGATACAACTTCGGATGGCTGGGCACCGTCAGCACCGAGGTCGTTACATGAGCAGTCGTGAATCACGACTAATCAACACTCCCACATAGTAACGCATTGTTGGTGTGCACATCACGTTCGATTGTTGCCAAATACATAATACTCGATATATACGATCATCATGGCATCAGCGGAACAAGATGTGCAGCTGCACGACTTTACCAACATCTTCAGCTTGAAAGGCAAAGTAGCAGTCGTGAGCGGCGGATCTCGAGGATTAGGTCTCCATGCAGCATCAGGGTAAATGAATCCATCTGCTTCCATCCATCATTCCAGCGCACCTGCCTAACACAAGACCAGTTTGATGCAAGCTGGCTGCTCCAAGATCTTCATCACCTCCCGTAAAGCTTCAGCCTGCGATGCCGCCGTCGCAGCCCTAAATGCGCTCCCCAACAAGTCACCTGGTGCAGTAGCTATTTCTATTCCCGCGGATAGCTCCAAGGTCTCCGAGATCGACCGTCTTGTGCAGGAAGTCAGCAAGCATACCGATCACGTGGACATTCTCTTTGCCAATGCAGGAGCTACCTGGGGCAGCAAGTTTGAAGAGGCGGATGAGAAGAATGGATGGGATAAGGTCATGGACTTGAACGTCAAGGGTGTCTTCTTTACAATCCAGAAGTAAGTCTTTCGTTTCTTTTACTATCTGATAATAGCGCTGATATAGGCGCAGACTCACACCCCTCCTCACCAAAGCTGCCACAGTCCAAGACCCCTCGCGCGTCATCGTAACAGGCAGCGTAGCAGGGATTGGCGTGGGATCTCTCGGTGAGACAGGCTCTTGGTCGTACTCCGCATCCAAGGCCGCAGTCCTGCATCTTGCGCGCAACCTTGCTGTTGAACTAGGGCCCAGACACATTCTTGTCAACGGTATTGCGCCAGGATTCTTCATGAGCAAGATGGCAGGTGTACTGATGGAGAAGGCTGGTGGTGAGGAGGCGTTGGGAAAGACTAACCCGAATGGAAGGGTAGGAAAGCCAGAGGACATCGCAGCTGCAGTTGTATATCTGAGCAGTAGGGCTGGCGGACATGTCAACGGAGACACAATTGTGCTCGATGGCGGCAAAATTCATGGAAGTAACAAGTTGTAGAATTTAGGAAAGACTAGGCCTCGCCCTCAGGAATACGCATCCCATGCATTCCCCTATATCCACTCTTCTCGGGCTTCTTCCATCCCTTTAACACCTCCCCTTTGACTTCTTCCTTGATCTCATACACTTCCACCCGAATAGGTCGGCACGTACTCTTCATCCCCTCATCATCATCTCTCTCTTTCTTCTCTTTTCCCTCTTCCGCCTGCGTCCAGCCCCACCGGCTTAGGTCACCACCTGGGCATGTACTCAGCGCACATAACAAGTCCAACTCGGCGAAGAAGGTAAGACAGCTATCCTTGGTCGCAGGACTAACTTCCATGAAGTAGCGGCCTTGCGAATCTAGACCTGTGACTTGGAATACGTTGAGTACGTCGTGAACGTCGAATTCTGTCAGTCCATATGGCAAGATGGAACGGACGAGGTTGGAGTGGCAGTGGTAATCGTAGGATGAGGATGTCAGCATGTTAGAAACTGCGTTAATCGTTAGCATAACTTCCGCATACTCTATTTGAACGGAAGAATCTAAAAGAACAAGAAGAGTCCAGCGGTACAGCCCGTTCCAAACCAAACCCCAGACCCGCGCATTCAAACATACCATAAGGATCACACCTCGTCCCCAACAAATCATTACACCGTCCACCCCACCTCGTAACCCCACCCCTCTCATCCCTGCTGCTCTCCCTCCCCTTTCCCATTCCCTCACCCTTCCCCTCGGAATCCCTAATCTCACACCCATCCTCCACAAGCCCACACATCGGCCTCATAAACGGGAGGCAACTCCACAGCCTATCCCCCTGCACCACATGACTCCCCTGCAACTGCCTCGTCCTAGACGCCCAGAAGCGCTCTCGGGGATCATGCTGGTTCCACACGTTTAAATCGCCGACTTGGGGGCCTTCGGGCGTGGAGAGACGGAAGAGGGAGCCCGCGGGTACGGTCCAGGCTTTTCCGCTGCGGGGTGGGATGGTGAAGTCTTGTGTTTTTACTAAGGAGGTGGAGGGGAGGGTGCGGAGGGTGGTGTAGAGGGCGGTTGGGGGGTGGAGGGGGGAGTCGGCGGATGTGGGGAAGTAGGCTGGGGCTGGGGGAATATTGGTCCTGTCGTTTTCTGCCATGGTGGTTGTGCTTGTTGGTAGAGGGAATATGCTGGCGGTGGGCAGGGTTATGATCGCGATCTTGTATAGATATGGTGACACGGATCGGAGTTGTAGATAGAGTTTGGGCCGGTATGTCATCCATATGTCGGGCATGACTTCACACCAACCGGTATCCACATCTACGGGTCCATGAGCCGGCGATAAGCGTTGTGTAGGATGCATGTGCCGATGTCGGATACGCCATGAGCATGGTACGAACAAGAGCGATTGCTGTGGGAGCTGTGCCGATGAGAACGTCTGGTAGGCAAGCGAATAAGAACACAGAATGCGAGTATTGTAAGGTTCTACATGTGCGATTTGAGTACAGCTATCGATACCTTTGTTTAGATATTCTCATTCCGTTTAGACAGCACTTTTTAACTCCAATGCCCCGACCTTTTACATCCCAAATGCTATATGCGATATGTGTGAACGGAGAAACTGAACTGTGAAGCGTTTGTAAGACTTCATGCCGCTACACGCCCGCACTCTTGACGTCTGCCTGACTGCCATTAACAGCAGCCTCTAGCTTATCCACTATGGTGCTTCCATTTTGTTTGCCGTTCCGTGTGGGACTTGAGTCTGGGCTGGGGATCTCGAGGGTGTTCGATCGCTTGGGACGGAAAGGAATGGGTGTGGTAGGTCTCGACGATAGGAACTGTGATGTGTTAGTCAAAGTGCTGCTTGTTATCATGAGCGAAGACTTACTGAAGAAGCTGCGCTCAACATAGCGATGAGAGACGCTTGAACCACATCCTGGTGGATACCAACACCCCAGACCTTCTGACTGCTCTGTGCGGCTGTGCAACCAATGTAGGTCGCGGCCTTCGCGTCTTTGCTTGTACCAATTGTGTGTTCGTTGTAGTCTACAACGTCCAGGTCGATACCCAGGCTCCTCAGTGCATCGGCCAGCGATGACAGTGCACCAGTGCCGGAGCCCTGGATCTTGTGTTCCTGTCCATCAATCTCAATGACACCGTTGAAGATACGGCGCAGGTTGCGGCTGCTGACTGTTCGGCCGTCTTGCGGTGGCAGAGGTGTCTCTGATCGGTCGGCCTTGATTTCGTAATCGACAAGGGAGAAACGAGGGTTGCGCTTGAGGTGGTAGGCTTCTTCGA